GCATGTAGTTATAGTTGGAGACAGCAAGGGCAAAGAAACACCACCTATGCTGAAGGTGTGTGATGGGTCTTAATTCCCTAGGCAGCATATTTCAGCCTGCTAAAGTCTTTCCCCTACAGAAACACTCTTCTTCATGATCAGGAAGCATTAGTGGCCTCACTGCAGAACACAGCAGCAGTGGGGTCACTTGATTCCTTTCTTTAAAAGAAATTCCAGGGGATAATATTGTACAATTAATCGGCCTTGATAGGTCTCATGCTGGGTTCAAAGGATTTCCATTTTTACCTTTCATTCAGTGCATGCATGAGACTGTTAGAAAGGTCGCATGGGCTGCTATGAGAAAACATGGGCAGCTGGATAGTTACTGTGTGGATGACACCAACTTTGTTTCTACCTTATCCAACCCAGCTGGTGAAGCTCACCCTGGAGTGGTAATTGATAAATATATCTACAGAGCTCTCTGCTCTACATATTACACCCATTGGGTATTTACATGCTCAATGAAAAGCTTTAAGAAATGTAGTTGCTAAAACTACAACTGAGAGCAAAAACAAATAAAAAATGTTTTCTAGCCAAAAAACTTCAGAGTCTAAAACAGAAAATCAGCACCATCCCAGAGAACTAAGCTAACTATGTTAACTGTATGAGGTAAAGGCACCATTCTATCAAAACCATGTGAGCTGAATCAAAAACTGAAATTTGTGAAAGTGGTGATCCTGAACACAAACACATATTTAAATTAAGTGGTACAAAGAATAAGTAAAGTTAGAAAAAAAGGCTGGAGGCCAAAATCTCAAATAACTCAGGTATAGACCAAACTATCAAAACCTTGTTGAGTACATGCATATATATGTGTTAACTTGTACCACGAACCAGCAAAATGAGGCTGCTGAAAAAGCAGTGTCAAATCGATGGCACCCAGCTGTTATCCCAATAACACTCAACGCAGCTCACACAGCAGAGGAGTGCAGAAAGGTGTGGGCACACTATTTCTGCATGTACTTTGACCTAGCCAGAGTCCTCCATCAACCTATGATCTTGGAAGTATCCCAGAAATGAGGGAGGCCACATGCTTTTTCTCCCCCCTTTCCAGCCCCTCTGCCTCAACTATTACTTGTTTCATGTGGTAGTGGTTGAATCATCTCACAAAGGATTCGGCATCCACAACTGAAAAACTGTTGTCCTTCTTGAGGGATAAAGGATCTTATATTGCACCTCCACCTTTCCACTAATGGCACTAGAGAGAAAGGCCTAAGGAAGTAAGCAAGTGGCATCTCAAACCCCAACTTCATTCACCACTGGAGTAAACAGTAGTGAACCATATCAGACATATTTTAAAAATGCCAAACCACAGTCTAAGAGCAGCACTGGCTTTAAAACAATTGTATATGTGAATGTTACAGGATCACAGGACTGTGTACAGCAACACACTTCCTGCCTATGCCTGTGATGCACAAAGTAGGTATTAGCACACACACCAATGTAAATAACCAGAACAAAGACAACTCTATTTGTCAAACAGCAAACAAATATAACTGTATATAGCTTGCAAAGAAATCATAACCATAACTAATTAGTCTTATACTAACATTCAACCATTATATAAATATGCACAAAGGCAAGTCATATATACAGTTGGACAAAAGATATGCAAACTAAATCATGAACATGTTACAATTAGTACTATAGCCATATCACAAAACCTAGCAAATACAATACTATTTATCTCTGTATCAATGCTAAATTGTTTTCCCTTTACTAATTAACATGCTGATCCTTTATTCCTCATAAAGGAATAAATTTCTTGCGCTGAGGTAATATACAGCTACAAAAAACAAGAGTCATTATTTTGTGTTCAATAAAAAAAATAAATGCATCTGGACCCAGTATTTTAAAAATAAATTATGCTTCTTCTACAGCCAGTATAAGCCACAATACACTGCTGAAAACTTTCATTCCCTTCAGCTGCTCTATTAAGTTGCATGAATTCTAAACGTGGCACTTGCATATAATATATGCTAAATTTACATCCAAACTTTTTCCCTATCATCATCATAATTATGGCACTTTACATTTTTCTAAATGTAAATAAATAGTGAAAAGTATATCTGCATCAATAGACAAAACAAAAGTGGTTCAAGTGAACTAGCTGCATAATTATGAAATTATGGAACCCATTTTAAAAGCATTCATGGGTTTAGGTCATCACAAAAACCCCTAGATACAATAATTTCCTCATCTCCCTTAGCAATTATGTTATATATAATGTATATAAAGAATAAAAAATGATTACAGTACAGATAATCATTGGTGACTACAGGTTTTCCAATCTGATGGCAAAATCCCAACACTTTTTGAATATGAAGAATTGTAGCGTGGAAAGGAGAGTGGTTTTGAATGACATTATGAGGAAATATGACAAAAAAACCCTGCAAACATTCTCTCAATAGTTTTCTATAAAAGTCAAACTATAACTCCAGATCAGTGAGTTTTCAATAGTAATTCTGTAGAACAAAGATGCCATCCAGTGGTAGGTTAGATTGATAGTTACTATTTCCCATTCACATAAGAGCATATACTCTTTCACAACTTTAAATTCCTGCACATTACACTGTGCTAGCTCTAAGTCTATGACATAACATGTTAGCTTATAATTCCCATTTTTGTACTGCTATGTACTGGCTCTTATGGTTCTGGAGGCAGTACCACAACTGCACATATTATTTTAGTGTAGGGGGAAGCTCTCAAACTGTTCGACAGCTTGGACAGCTTAACCACCAATGAGTTGTTCTTCCTCCAAAATACAATCACAAAACCCACCTACTCTCCATTTGTGTCATAGAATTATGGAACTGCTTACCTTGAATAGCAACGTAAAGACAGAAAACAAGTTATTTTTTAGTTGTCCCTAATGTAATTTCAACAAATATGCAGAAATAAAAGAGCCAGCATTATGTAGCCAGCTACTTGATGCCTGTAATTTATAATGAAGTCCTTATTCACAGTTGCATACTATTATTCCCTCGTAAGTTCTCAGCAGAGTTTGAACCTAGGACCTTCAAATACACAACATGCAACTCTTGGACTTGAGCTACAGAAGTAGACAGTGACAGAAGCTAACTTATTCATGAAACCTTCTTTGTTAAGGAGTTACACAATCACTTGTTAGAAATGTTAAATCTGACTGAAATCTCAGATGTGAGATTTTTCTGGCACCCAAGTAAACATGAAAATGTGAAAGGATGGATGACACTCAGGAGATCTAAGAGTTCTCTGGATTACAGTTTGAAAAGTGTGATAAAACAAGTTTGAAAAGTGTGATAAAAGAGTCACAATATTTCAGGTGAAACTGTCATACTGAGTAAGTATCAGTGGCATACCATATTGTACTTTAAAATAATTTTGAAGTTTTAAAGGTTAGTATAAAACATGCTTCGACTTATAGGAGCCTTGTACATGGGACAGGGGTTTAGGCCCCTAAACTGAAACAGATGGTTTTTAATTGCAAAGATTAAAAACCTACCGCTTCAATTTAGGGGTTTCTCTCACTGTGATGATAAGGGGCAAGATCCTTTTTTTTCTTCACCCCTGCGGAGCCTGCCCGCCTCTCCCACAGCCAGGGGATGAGATGCCAACTGGCCAAGTGGCCTCTGAGCTGTTGGGGGGGGGGTAGTCCTTTCCTCCATGGTGGCGGCACCCCCCGGGGCATCCTGGGTGGGCTGCTGGTGCTGTTGCCATGGAGAGAAGATCCAGGGCCCCCCACATGCTTAGGCCCTATCAGCAGCCCACCCCACCAGCCATGGGAGAGGCAGGCAGGCTTCATGGGAAAACAAAAAATGTAAAAACTTGCCACATTTTCCCCCCTCCCTCCTCAGAGGAGCCTGCCCATGAGAGCTCCCACCAGGCTCTGAAGCCCCTGAGCTGCAGGGGGGCCTGGTTCTTCCCTCCATGGCAAGGGCGCCCCCTGTGTGGGGTGCTAGCTGTGCGGGTGTTGCCCCAACTCGCAGCTAACACCTGCCAGATCTCACTCTTCCCCAAGCCAGCGCAGGGAGCAGTACCCAGCAGGCTTCCAGTGCTTGGACTCAAAGAAGAGTTGGATCTG